GCACGTCGGGACCGAGATGGACGTGAAGAAGCTGATAAACTTATTATACGATGCAGTAGTTCGGTGTTTCACTTGAGTCGGACTATTTTTCAGTTGACTCAAACACCCGAGCATGAGGAACGTTCCATGGACTCAAGTCAAGTGAAAAACGCTGCAGAGGCGACTTGATGCATTCGGCGATTATCGGCGAAAAGCCCGTGCAGGCCGTGCTGCTCCCTCTTTGGTCTTGGAAGCAGCCAATGAAGCGGCATTTCGTGCTCGCCGTTCTGCTCTTTCATCGGCTGACTGGGATTCCACAATGTCTGTCTTTCTATTATCGCCCCCCAGAATAATTTAAGCCTCCCCGCCTTTTAATTGCACTTTGAGAACAACACCAAAACTCAAAATAGTAATATAGAGCACTAACTGAATGCTGCAGACTTACGTAAAGCACTGTGTTAAACAGGTGATGGGTGTAACACGACAAAACTGACATTAAAATCTTTGCCAGTTGTTGCCATAGCAACAACGTCCGTAGCCGACAATGCCTCGTACTCTGAGGTCATTGTTGGTTGTGAGAACTTGCCTGGGAAGGCATTCAGTACAGTGACATTCTTATCGCCGAAATTAGGCCCAATTACATCAAATTGGTAAGACTTTTTGGACTTCTGACACAATGGCCCGTATGCAAGAACCTATCACATGGTAGCTATCAAGATAGGTATCGGGCGATAGGTCTATTATTTGCTCAGTTCTGTATGCAAGAACAAATTATAGGTATACATCGTGAGGCCTATTATGATAGGTATCTTCATACTTATCATGATAGGTATTCGTGAATCTTCCTGATGACAACCTCGTATCCATCGTCTCCCGCCCAGGAACAATGCCATGTGTGTCTGCTCACATGTTGACCAGAATGTTGTGCGATGATTTAACAGTATTAATCTGACACCGTTTACCAGACTCGTGCTTGAATTCCGACTGCCGTGGCTTGATACAAAGAATTCTACGTGATTTAATCTATCTCAGAGTAACTGCGCTCAGCACAAGTTGTGACCGTTCACATAATTAATTGGGTTAATAAAATGCGCTGCAATCCACCCTGGTAGCTCGTTATAAGCAGAATAAACAAGCTCTGGATCATAATAGATTGAAGCGATTTTTATACCTAATGTTTCTGCATACCTATCAAACTTATCATATGATACCCCCCAAAATAGCTATTTTATCGGGTTTATACGTTCTTGCATACCAGCCAATGAATATCTCTTCCAGGTCATACGTTTTCGATTGACTCCTCCGTCATGAAAATCCGTTCATCTGTCCGGGAGAGTTTCCCGGAATGACATACCGACACGCACGCAAACAGATTGGCCTCTTGTGTATATTATTATAATATATATTATGTATGTGGACGGGTGGATACAGGGACGAACAGATTCCAAAGAGAAACGGTCGATTTCCTTCTACAATATGTCTCTCGTCGTGGAAATGAAGCCTACAGGGGAATTCTGGTTGTTCGGGTCACGGAATGCAACTCGTTTCAAACACGTCATGATGATATTTCAGTTTCCCTGCTTCTCTCTCCGAGTCCCTGTCCTTTTTTTCCCCACAAGAAATCCATTCGACTTCGACTTCCTTCTTACGAGACGCAGTCGTTCTCGCCTGGGAGGTCGGGGGAGATACTCCGCTTTCACCCACGGATGGATCACTGGAGGTGGATCTAGGCATTTCACATCATTGGAGGTACCTATAAAAGGTGATGCGCGGACGGTTATTTCGGCTCGACGGTAACAGCAGAACGATGGGGAGCCAGTGCAAGTTGCGTCAGCCTCACGTGAGTCTCGAGTGGCGGAATCACCGTTTTATTTGTCCGAAAGTAAGTACGCGGATCGCGTTAAGTGAAAGTGTAGTCCCTGCTCCTTCCGTCAATGCTTTAAGTATGCCTTCATAAAAAAAATTAAGTAACAAGATGGTAGAGTCGTACTCCCAACATCTCTTACGAGTGCTTGACATCGACTTGGGATATCAAAATGGGCAGAAACGTTTCTTCACGTCCCAACTCAAACCTTGAACCATGAATAATCTGGCCTGAAAAAGAGCAAGGGACAAGAAGGACTTGATTCCCAACCATTTGAGACCTTCCGTCAGTTTGCTCTAGATGTCTCTGGGTGTGGCGGTGTCGTGACTCGGTAGGCGAATTCCGTCTTAACCCTTTCCGTGCCGTTGACCGGTGAGACTCGCATCCCCTTTTTCCTGTGGCATTTCAATGACGGGTCTCACCCGTCTGCCCCCTTCAAACTCGATTTGGCAATGCTGCCGCTCAGCTGACAGTGTTGGCAGTCATCCAATCACGTAGCCAGCCACAAGTCCGGTCGTTATGGTGCAAGTTGATTCATCGTGCTCCGGCAGCGGCAACCCTCCGGCAGCAAAACATCCGACACGGAAAGGGTTTATGGCAATTATTGCAGAAGGATCGAAGATGGAATCATTTTTCCACACAAAGTTGAAACGAGTGCCAGGTTTATCGTAACCACCGTTAACAACAATCTGCCACTCCTGTCTGTCGCAACTCACATTTGCATAACTTTACTTATGAAAAAACCATTGCCCACTGATGTACATCCCCTTTTTGAGGAAGGTGGAAGACAACATTTAATGTGGCTGAAATGGGCGATTCGGTAAGGACGATTATGGGCGTTATGTATTTTTGCAGCGTGGGGCATATGATCCCGCATTGAATTTAACGAAAATGGGAGCTTTGTGAGAGAGATTAGCTTGGGCAATCTCTTTACTTCGAACGTACTGCTTCTTAACTTTTTTGGCTCCGTTCCCTTTGCTCTGCAGTCGCGTCATGTAAAGTCTGATGATGTCCATGCCTGTGACAGAAGTTCCAATGTTCTTCGATCTCATCTGCGGAAATACCCAGAGAAAATGAGCAATTAATTGACAATGTAAGGGTCACCTCTTTCTTCTCAGTGCTGAGTCACCTTGCATTCTGGAGGATTAGTTGATGGTGAATTGTCACTCAGAGGAAACCTTATAAATTGCCACCAATTAATCTTCTTGCCCAATCGAACGCAAAAATACTGGTTTTTAGGTGAGAGCAGTTTTGTGTGTTAATAGCGAGAATACCTACTCGGGTCTGTTAGGCAGGTAATGGGAATATTATGAATTTTTTTTATTCACTACCACTTGGAAAAGGAAGTAGAGGTAAGTGGTTCTGGGTCACAATGAAAAGCATGGAGCCACTCTTTCATGTCCGATACCATTTTGCAGCAGCAAAGGGTAATATGAAGGGCTTCGATAACGTGGAGTGTGATAGGCCTTTCCGATTTGATAGTTGTAGCAGAACGAGGGGAACAACGTTTTAAGTAATGCAAGCCTCAAGTAAAACTTGGAGTTGAGGAACAACTATTTTAGTTGATCGACGGAGCGTGCATGGAAGTTATCTATAGAGGTTTCTCTTTAGTGGATAGCTTTCTGAGGGCCTTCGTGGGCAAAATGGGGGAGGGGGGAAAGTTAGGTAACTGTAACTAAGTTTTCAAGCAGAAAAGCAGAAAATTGGAAAGTGGATTAGGGGCTCTACGCGATTAGAACCCAACTGGGTCCGGGGTGCTGAGCGGAGGAGAATGTGTGAGGAAACCGTGCCGCGGGGTTTACGTCTTATCCTACTTTCATAATTAATTATTTTTCCTTCGTACTCATTGGGGTATGAGCCCCCTCTCTCTTCCCTGGTTGCGCCTCTGTATGTAACCTGTAGATGGACACGCTCACACGAAAAACAGTTATCTCAAGAGCGTCTATCTATGGAAGGAGGCGGGGGGAGCGCTCGACCTCGACTCGGGGTGTTCTTATGGGCAGGCATGAGGCATGCCTTACGACACGCGTATGATCCTTTGAACCTTGAACCTATCGTCCTCGTTTCACCGTTTCATTCCACTTCTTGAGTTCGTCATCACTTCTCCAAATCGTCAACGGAAGGGAAACAAGTGTAGTGACTTCATTAAGGCCGTTTGATGAATAGAAGATTAAACCGGAGCTATTTTAATCTAGGGGTATGCCCATACATTTTTCATGGGCTTTATCTCAGACTAAAGTAACCGGAGATTAACCCCACATTCATCAACCGACCCTCATCGAAGCAGGGATAGATTCTTAGGAGATAATTTTTTTTTTAAGTCGTGACAGGAGTACCTGCTAGATTAACAATGAAAGTATGGACCTCTACTCAACTGGGCCAAACCCACCCCCCGTCGTATTTTTGCTATATTAGTTGAGAATATATCATAGGGATTTTCAACAGTGGTATGTCTTGATATAAGCTGCGAAGCGACCTTTATTTTCAAGGGAAGAAAAACCTCCCGAACTCGGAGTTGTTGCAGTTCTGACAGCACGATAATCTTAACCAACGATAGGATAGAGACAGTGCTGGAAATATTGAGTGGGGCGTGGGGTCGACATATCCGAGAACTAAGGTTAAATTCCAGTCGCATCGATCAAGACACATACTGTAGGAAGGGACAAATATCGTTCGTTTCGCCGGCAGAGCCATCCCAGGAAGGAAGGAATGAAGAGATGAGAGATGAAGAGAGCGCATGCGCATGGCTGCCTTACGTGGCAGGATCGGATGGACGGCCTACTGGCCTCTTCCACATCATTTTCTTCTCCATCTCTCTTAGGCTCTGTCTGTAGGCCTATACCTAAAGAAGTCTAACGTAGCAAGGTTAGGCGTATGTTAGGCTCATCTGTTTTTACTTCATTATATAGGTATATTATAGGTCTTGGTCTGTGACTGCGTTACCGATGGCCAACATTCTTTCTTTGCGCCTGGCTAACGTTAGGCTTATCCAGGGTAGCCTCGGACCGAATTATTGGCTTTTTTCGGCTTAATAAAGGCCAGTAGTTGTATGACGTTGCGTTATTTGAAATTTATTTTGGCTCAGAAGGAAGGGTTCCTACGGAGGTCACGATGGGCTGGGGAGTTATGTGCGACGGGCAGAAGTAGCTTAGGAATTATGTTTGTTTTTTTTTCGATTATTTTGTCATTTGTTTCTAAGGCCAAACTGTGGTCCAGCCATGATAGGTCTCTGCGTTTGGCAAAAATGAACTGGAGGAGGTAAATGAAGATAGAGGCTTAGCAATCACAATTGATGAAAAATTCAAGTACTCAGGGCACATTCAGGTGACAGTTGGTAAATATAGCAGGAGTTTAGACTTCATCACATTGACACTAAGCGCATGCACATAGTTCTTCCATTATATGCAGCTCTTTTAGACCTCATTTTGAGCTCTGCAAAAAATAAAAAATAAAAATAAATATTGGCACTTGGGAGGATGCAGAGGCAGGCTATGAATATGATGAGGTATGAGGTCTTCCATATGAGAGGCATTTGGAAGCATTGAAACTCAAGTTGCTTAAAAGGAGGTTAATGAGGAGGGTTTATAGGGTTAGCATATGTTTCTTGGATAGCCAAGGGAATGAGTCTAAGGAGGAACTGATTTCCATTTTCCCAGAAAATCCTTGCAATAAGAATAGCACTAATTGGCACCATGAGATGGTGAAGCATGTCTAAAGCTATCTAGTCAAAACTAGCACTCAGTAACTATTAAAATGAGGCTATTAGCTGTATAGTGTCATCACTACTCCTTACACCTATGTATCTGCTGAAGATTTGAGGAATGAATCTGGGACCCCTTTTCTCTTCATTTCAGATGAACCCTCAGGTCATGGCACAACCTACAATGAACAATCCTTATGCATCAGGTCCTTCACAGCCTCAATACCAGATAGGTCCTCCACAAATGGCCCCTGCTGGGATGCCTCAGATGATGAAGCAGCCTCAGGGTCAGCAGTATCCATCACACCCTCCTCGAGGTCAGCTCCTCAGGGCTTAATGTTAGGCCTCAACTGTCATTTATCTTTATAATAGACCTAACCTACTGATATATTTACATTTGCAATGAATTTTGGATTTGTCTTGAGCATTTTCTGTTTGTTGAATTTATGTCACCTGACAAAGCTTTGATCAGCCCTATTAAGACAATCCAGAAAATGAATAGACACTGGTTTTGTATTGAGTTCTTATGTTCTTAGCAACCAATGATTATGCAAATCATTGGTTGCTATAGATCTATTAAAGCCAGCAGAACTAAAGGTTTCTCTTATGTATGATGTGAACTGGTATTCTGTAGGTGTCACTAGAAATGATTGATGAGCTAGGATTTGGCTGAGTCAAGTTTAATTCAGGGCAGGCCATCCTGGACCACTTGGTCTTTGTGCTTTCAATCTTTAATGTATATTGGTTGAAAAGTAGGCTATTTGCCTTATTTAAGCTGGCATAATTAAATTGGACTGTAGATTTAGATCCAGATGAAGCAGTACCCTAAGTCTGAGTTGGATCTAGGTCTATGTTCTATGAGAAGTTAGGTAATGCCCAACTAAGTCAAAATATGTTTTATAATAGGAAACATGATGGGAGGAGGTCAGGGAGGATATCCAGTACGACAGACACCCCCACCAGGTGCAGGTGTCAGCCTTCCAGGAGGCCCACAAGGGCAAGGGATGTATGGAGGTCCACCATCTGCTTCGAACCCTTCGTTTCCACAGCAGAGAAATCCTTCTCCAATGGGTCCCATGCCCCCCATGCCTCAAAATCCTCCTCAACGAATGCCTTATCCCCCACATTCAGGTAATCTTAGGTGTTCATGTTTGGCTAGTAACTCACCATAATTCAAATGGTCTGTGATGTAGACTCTAGACCAGTGGTTCCCTAACCTTGAGTCGCAACCCAAATCAGGGTCATGGGGTGTCCTCAGTAGGGTTGTGAATGGTCATCAGAAGAAAAAAAAATTTTTGGAAAATGCATCATATTTCATTAAGAAGATATTTATATACATACAAAGGGTGTTCGAAAAGTAATAGGAATTTATTAATTAAACAAGAACGATTAGACCTAAGGTAACAAGAGTCAGCCCATACGTAGGCCAACATGTAAGCATTAGGACCTGTCAATGCCATTCAATACACTCAGTCCATTCTCGAGTTATAGGCCGTGCTGTCCCTTGCTATTTTTCTATTATGGAAGACGCGGTGAAAAATCAAAGGTCAATAATGTTCTTTTTGTGGAAGGAAGGAGTCAAAACTGTTGATATTGTCAAGCGCTTGCAGTGTGTTTTCGGAGATGCTGCTGACTCAAAAAGCACAGTTTATTTTTGGATTAACCGCTTCAAGAGTGGTCGGCAAAGCCT